TCTAATTTATTCGGCCCTCCCACCCCCTTTTTCACCAAATTGGCAGCCTCACATAAAATCAAAGTGCCCAGGCGTCCTTCATCCCGGAGAAGGTGAGCCAACTCAGGATTTACAGGCAAGATATTGCTTGCAAAGTTAACTTAGATACTATGTGTTAGTATATTAGCAATAGAATTGCAACACAACCTCCTGGGAAGACACTTCAAGATAGAGTTGTTAAAAATACATAAAATAAGTGAAGTATGACTTGCTGCGTTTGAGTTGATTCTGATTCACAGCAAGCATCCCTATGGGACAGAGTTGAACTGTTCCCTGGGTTTCTGAGGCTGTACGTCTCCATGGAAACAGACTGCCTGGTCTTTTTCTTGCAGAGCTACCTCCAGTGGGTTTGAACTATTGAATCCACAGGACCCAGGGCTCTTTGAATTAGGTATGAACCAAAAAACAAAACAAAAGCCCCAACCCACTGCCATCAAGTTGATTCTAACTCAAAGGGATCTGATGTAGGGTTTTGGAAACTGCACGCCGTTTGTGTATTTATGGGAGCTGTGGAACAGCTAGTAAGTTTGGACTACTGACCTTGCTGCTGGAAAGATTGTTCAATTAAAAGTTACAGATTAATTTAATGTTAGGCAGGGCTTATAGAATTATTGAATGGGGGAGGCTAACCAAAATGATAGTTTTGTTATAAAATACAGGTCCACAATCCTCTGTTCAAAGTACTTGAGACAAGATGCCTTTTAGAATTAAGATATAAAAATAATTTTTATACTTTAATGTGTAAAACACATTAGCCACATATAATATTTCCAGTAACATGTGTGGAAACTTTTCTCTAATAATATTGCTATTTATGCAGAAAAACATTAGCATCCACAGAAAGTGAAGACTGTAAATAGCCTCACATTAGGTGAGCTTTCAGAATGTATGGTTTCTGATTCAGATATTGAAGACCTGTCCGTGATCTGTAGTTCCTCCTATGTGACCCTGGTGTCCATCAAGGGCTCACCAGGCAAGTCCCTGGGGGTGATGCTGCCCCTCCCTGGGCTGTCCCCTCGAGTGATAGTCATCCACTTTCCGGCACACTGCCTGAGGGCAAAGCTTTTTCACTGTGGCTGGAGGCCTGACTTGTGGGTTACTCCTATGGCTGCTGACTGCAATTTGAATCTCTCAGCTGCTGCTGTAGAGAAAGATGAGGCTATCTGCTCCTGTTACAATACACAGCCTTGGAAACCTCCAGGGGCGGTTCCATTCTGTCCTACAGGGTCTCAGTGAGGCCACATGTGTGTCTTTGATGGCAGGGAGTCCGGCTTTTGTATTTGGTAGTTAGAAGTCTGAATGAGTGCCCCTGGATACAAATCAAGGTGTCTACTGACCTCCATTTTTTCTGGATGCTGTTGAGATGAACGATCCCTTGCCGTTTCTGATTTCTGAAGGCTACCCGCATCCCTCGGCTCACGGCCTCCTTTATTCATCTTGAAATCCAGCAACAGCATCTTCCTGACACCCCTTCCCAGTCTCACATCTTGTTCTTCTTTCCTCTTCTGTTTTTAAGGACATTTGTGATTATATGGTGCTCAGCTTGGTAGGGTGAGTTATCTTTTGGACTGCTAACCACAAGGTCAGCAGTTTGAATCCCCCAGACACTGAGGCATCTGGTCTTGTGAAAGTTTTGAGTCCTGGTGACACTGGTGAACATTGAACCACTAACCGCATGGTCACACATGGTGCAGCAGTTTAAACTCACCAGCTTTTCCATGGAAGAAAGATGAAGCTAGCTGCTCCCATAAAGATTTACAGCCCCCAAACTTACATAGGTCTCTGAGTCAGTGGTTGAGTTGTGCGTTACACTTTGGGCTGCTATCTGCAAGGTCAGCAGTTCGAAACCACCAGCTGCTCTTCAGGAACAAGATGATTTACTCCCACAAAGGTAACCCAGAAACCCACAGCAGGTAGGTGTGCTCTGCCCTGTAGAGTTACTGTGAGTCACTGGGTCAGCGATTACATTGAGCCCATCTGGACGGCCAGAGTAATCTCCTTAATTACGAGCAGTGGATTAGCAACCTGAACTTCCCTTTGCCAGGCAACGTAACAGGGATGTTGTTGGTCCAGTCTCCAGTTGCTGCACCAGAGAAAGAGAGAAAGAAGTGACAGTCGGCACCCATAGCAATTCCAGGAACCCTATGGGGCAGCTCTGTGCTGTCTTCTAGGGGTGTTATGAATCAGAAGTGACTC